GAAGAAAAGAAGTGATACAACCTCTTAATCCTTTGATCTCTGATGTTGAGGAAAAGAATATAACATTCACGTACCCATTCGACACTTTTATTTATCAAAAATTCTTTTTTGATCCTGGAATAAAAGGCGAAGGCACTAATAAATATTTCAAGTTCAATGGATGCTACCCAAAGTTACTTTATGACATCCCCACTTTGGAAGAGGAGCCTGCAGAAGATCTCTCTTTGGGAAAGGTTGCTTATGTGATCACCTATCCACCTTGACTACTCGAGTGTGTTCTTTCCTTTCTCTCACTCTTACTTTATATTTATGTTTTTTCATTGAGTACAATGTATGTTTTAAGTGTGGGGGAGGGAATTATTTTTTTATTTTGTTTTGTTTTGGTTTTGTTCTTAAATAAAAAATAATAATTTTTTTTACTTTGAAACACAATGCATCTTTTGGAATTTTTAGGCTATAAATTAATTTGAGGTTAGATTGTGGAGATTTGGGAAAAATTCATAAGATCAGTATCATTTTAACACCTTAAGTCTCTCGAATATGGAAATCGATTTAAATACTTGTTATGACATAGCCTTGAGTTCTTTCATCCTTTAATATCTCTTAAGTAGTTTATCTAGCAGTCAACACCATCTAGAAATCACACATTAAGTAATTAAGCTGATGCAAATAAGTGAATAATCATGTTCTTAATAAAAAATTTAAATAGGAATTCGACTTTTAAGTTAGGTGACCCTCACCCGATCACTTAGGCTAACTGTTGTGAAACCTTCAAAAAAAATATTAAAAAAAAAAACTATTGTTGTTGCTATTTAATTGGTTAATTTGAAATTGTTGACAAGATATGGATCATAGTCACTAACAGGCTTATTTACCATGTGTGTGAATAGATAACAGACTTAATGTGATTGCATCAGAATGAAAGAGAGTAATATAAGGAGGATGAGTAAGTTAGGCTTAAGCATAATAATAAGATTCAGATTGGTTTGTATAGGAGGGAGGCTTATGACTGCATAATTGCAGATTTGTGTTCTTACGATATCCTTAGTGTGCAAAATTAAAACCTATCGATGCAATCTTGACCGAAGAAGAGTTTGCGACCTAGAATGAGTATCTGAATGCTGTTTTCATGAGTCTGGACACTATTTTGCTCGGAGTGCAAAAGTTCAAGTGTGGGGGAATTGATCTGTGCATTTTAATGCACATTCTCTTATGTTTTTACTTAGGCATTTCCTTAGTTTGTTTTGTTTATTTTACTGTTTTATTATGTTTTTAGAATTAAGTTTTTGTTTGACTTTAATCTATTTTCGCAGCTTATTTTCAGCTTTAGCGGTTATTTGATATTTGTTCACTATTTGGATCATAATTGGAGCTGCAAAAATCGGATTTGAGTATTCTAATAGGAGTTGGAAAGCTAAGACATAGAGCTATAACTTTCATGTTTGAGGCAGAATCTAATTCGGAGTTTAAAAGGCTCAAATAATTTGTTGAAGTCAGGACCCAAAATCTGCCATTAGAAATATTTAGTTTTGGACCGGAATTTTTATGTTTTTCGACTCAGTTGGGTTAGACCGGATTTTGTGATGCTTCCCTATACCTAGTAGAAGTCGTGCTACTGTTCATAACCTTTTTTTCACGATTTTAATTTGATTTTTACAATTGTAATGGAGAACTAATTCCCACGGGAAAATTCTGTTGTGTACGGTCACATCGCTTTGAGGTTGTTATAATACCAATTTAAATTCGATTCCTTTCAACCATTTTTTATGAAGTCATTTGCTTAATTTTATTGCAATTGTTTGCTTAATTCAATTGTTGTTCATAGGATATGATTAATTAAATTCGATTGTATACATGTTCCTAAATTTAATTGCGTGTTATCGTTTGCTTAATTCGTTAACTCATCATATTCTTAACCGTTTGCTTAATTCAGTAAACAGGAACATAATTCATTTGATTTTGATAAGTGTTTATCTAATTGATATCATAATCAAATAGGATCAAATCCTCTTAGGGCTTGGTGTTATAATAGCTTATGATAAGTCGAAATCTGAATCAGTAGGATTAGCCGTTTTATCTTATTTTTATAATCACTTATTTTAATCACTTATATGCAAAAAATTCCTTTTAATCGAAACTCAAGCCCCCATTGTCCAGTCGGTCGGTTAACAATAATACAAGAATCTTTGAGATACGACTTGAGTCATTGTCGCTTTACTACTTTTCAAAAAATACACGTTTTTATCCGCGCGCGACAACGGATCAAAGACACAGAGTGAAAAAGAACTTGATGAGGTTGTTAAAGAAATTGAGTTTTTCTATCAAGTAGTGAGTAAAGGGTTGATGAGTGTTGTAAAGGAGGAAGCAACAGTTCCAGAAAAAGTGTTAGAATTCTAGAGAATTCAAGGAATTGGCCACAGATGAACTACCAAAAGATTTGTCTCTTATGCGAGATAAACGACAAAAAGTTAAAGCTTTCAATAAGGGAGACGGTGTGATGGTGTTTTTGCATAAGAAAATGTTTTTAGTTGGTAGTTATTGCAAGCTACAACCACGAAAATATGGCGTGTCCAAGGTAACTAAAAAGATCAATGATAATACATATGTGGTAGCTCTCCCAGATTTCATGAATATATCCAATACTTTCGATGTTACTGACATTAATGAATATCAATCGGATGAGACTTTTTATCAAGAAGATAGTTTGTGATTGAGTTCTTTAGAGGTGGGAGACTATGGAAGACTTTTTTAAACCATTTGAGTTTGCTTTAAACCCAAAAACAATATTTTAATATTTTCTCCAATTTCGTATTTATTTTTTTTATGATTAAAAGCCCATTAGGGTTCTATTATATTTTTGTTTTGAACTAAAAACTCATTAGGTTTTTTATTTATTTAAACACGTTTGAGTTGTGACTTTCAAGACTATCTTTGATTTTAATAAAATTTGACATTTTTTTTATTTGATGGATTACAAAGCTTAACTTACACTTGCAATCTTGTGTTTTGATTCTAGATTTAACGCTTACTATTCCTCTATGATTCCAACTACATCAAGTACAAGAAAGAAATGTTAGGGAGATAATATGTTAGGGAGTATCCTACAATTTGCTGATGATACATTACTTCTTTGTGATGGTAATTACTCTAATTTGTGGGCAATCAAATCTATATTGAGGGGATTTTAGCTAGTCTCAGGATTGAAGATAAACTTTGTGAAAAGTTGTCTTTATGGTGTTGGCATTGATCCTGAGTTCATGTTGGCTGCGGAACAATTCTTATTTTGTAAATCAGGATCCTTGCCATTCAAATTCCTTGGACTTATGGTAGGGGAAACCAAAGAAGAATCGAGTTTTGGCAACCTGTCATTAATTGCCTAAGAGCCAGATTATCATCTTGGATTGGTAAAAAGTTGTTTATTGATGGGAGAGTGACATTATTGAACTCTGTACTAGCAAATTTGCCAATTTACCATCTATCATTCTTCAAGGTGCCAAAACAGGTGGAAAAGGAGATTTTTGGCATCCAGAGACAGTTCCTTTGATTTGGCTCAGTGGAACTCGTGGCACTGTGTGGGTTAGCTGGAAATCCTTGTGTAAATATAAGAAACTTGGAGGTTTGCGGGTCAAACATGTTGGTCACTTCAATGTAGCATTCCTTTCGAAATGGTTGTGGAAATTTCTACAAAATGGCAATGAGTTATGGAAGAACATCCTTGAATTCAGATATGGCAATTTGGCAGAAAGGGTATTGAGTGAAGATGAAGGATGTAATGATGCTACTGACTCATTGTGGTTGAGGGACCTGTTATCAATCTGTAGACCAGAGAATGGAAGTTGCTTCATGAACAAGGTATCGATTGCACTAGGTAAAGGCACAAATATATTGTTTTGGAAATGCAAATGGCTTGGCAATGTAGAGTTCAGATTTTTGTTTCCAAATCTGTTTGAACTGTCATCTTCCAAGCTCTGGTTTGTATCTGATATGGGAGTATGGGAAGTTGGAGTGTGGAAGTGGAACGTCGAAGCTTTACATACAGGAATCGAAGGTGAGGCAATGCTGGAACTACAAGATCTAGAAGATATGTTGGTTCCAATCCATCCAAAAGCTGACACTGTTGGTGGTTGGATATGGCAACTCGAGAATACAAAAAAAATTTCGATCAAATAGTATTACTGTTGTGGGAAATCACTCATTGTTGGAAACACCAATCACCACAGCATTGGAGATACTCTGAAAAACTAACATTCCAATGAAGATTAAGGTCTTCGTGTGGCGGTTGTTCCTAAATAGACTCCCAACTCGTAAAAATCTTGTTGATCGCAGAATATTAACTAGTAGGCATGAAGAGGTATGTGTGCTATGCTTTCATGAGAATTACCACACCTTTTTTTCAGCTGTCCTAAAGTAAGATTGGTTTGATTGAGGGTGTATAATTGAATTGGAATAGAGTAGATTAACGAATCGGCTAGTTAGGATCATGCTATAGCTTGGTTCTTAAGGTTGTGTGGGAGGTCTAAACTAGAAAATGCAAATGCAATATGGTTTGTAATATGCTGGTGTATTTGGAAAACTATGAATAACATTTTATATAATGACGAATTTTCTATCGTCGAGTCTATATTCCAATCTAATCTTGTTTTGTCTTAGAGATGAATACCTTTGTTGTCGAACTATCGTGAGAGTTGTAATTTGTATGATTGGACAAAGTTCTCTCTAAATTTTTTATAGGTTTTTTGGGTAGTTTTTAAAAAGCTAAACTGTAAACTGTTTATATAACATTGGGGTGGAATTCCTCTTCAACCCTTTAATACAATTCTTGCTTATAAAAAAAATTACAAGAAACTATTGGAACACATAAATTAGCAATATATATATTGCTATATTTTATTAATAACTCTCCCTTCATACATCGATACCCAATTAAGGAGATCCTAGACATTATTCAACCGAAATAAACCATCCCACTTTTCTCATAATCCCCCAAACAACAATCACATTCAAAGGTTATTAGTGACTAGGAATGCCAATTCACTATAAAAAGTAATCTGACGGTTAAGTTCAGTAACTTGTGGGTTAACAACATGTCCAGCAACCATTCCTCTATCACATTGAGCAGGTCCATCACTAGCAACCTTAGCATCATAATTAGCAGTTTGAGGATCTTCCTTCAACTCTTCAAGAGAGCTTCTGAAAGACATAACAGCACCATCATAATCAAAATTAGCACACTGTGTGAGTGCTGGACAGTTGGTTGCTGCTGCTAATCCCTTGAGAAAAGTCTGTCCTGCGGAGGCTTTTTCGTATGCCATTTGGAGAACAGCCTTTGCGAGTTGTCCGAAGCTATTCGCATGTGCGGCATGAGGATTTGATCCGAGGATGTCGTCGCATTGTGCTTTGTTGGATGAAGCGCTGCAAACGGTGGAGATTAGGCCTGAGTGCAATCCAACACTAGGTCTGGCATTTGCGGCGAAAGGGTATTGAGAAATTAATATCAAACCAAGGAACACGGCACATATTGTTGACGTTTTCATCATGTTTTTGGTTCTTTTGTTTCTTGGTTAGTGTTTTTTGGTGAGTGTTCCTTGGTTTGAGGGAGAGATTGTGTTCAATGTTTTCATGGATTTAGGGTGTTTTGTAGTTACGGGAATTCTAAATTAAGGTAATGAAACGGTTTTTAGGAATGTGTAGCAATTGTGATGCTTGGTTACGTGGTTATACGAATTTTTCTGGTTTTTGGTTTTACCAAGTTGGAATTTTTTCAACAAAAATTGAGTTGTCACACTATAAATGATGCATAAAGTTTTCACTAACTGTGATTAAGATGCATTCAATTGTTTTTGCTGACCGGACTAATAACTACATTTATGTGGATACAAGAAATTTACATATGAAAATACTAAATTTGTTCTCTTTCTACTAGAACTTTCAAATTATTTAATAAATGATAGTAGTACTTTTAATATTTATTTTTTATTTTATTCATAAATATTAATATTCACCGTTGATTTATTAAAGCTCCATTTGTTTTATCTTTAAAAATATATTTTTTTGGTATGCTTTGCACATAACACATGCTCACTTCAAAGAAACTCTTCTGTATAGAAGGAAGTCTCTGAGCTTTGAAGAAGTTCAATCAGCCTTGTACTCTAAGGACTTGAACAAACGAAAGGAGTATAAACCTTCGACGGTTGGTGAAGATTTAGCCGTTAAAGGAAAATTCTTGCGAAAGGACGGTAAGTTCGACAAGAAGAAATGTAAAAGTCAGTAGAAGTCTTATAGTGGCGAGGCACCTGGTATTCGATGATATCACTGTAAGAAGGAAGACCACACAAGAAAAGTGTGCCCTGAACGTCTGAAAGATCATTGAGGTAAAGAAAATGGCAACGCAACCATTTTTCAAGATCACTTTGAATCATCTGATGTTCTTGTGATTTCAAGCGGTGACTCAAGAAAGGAGTGGATTATGGATTCAGGTTGCACTTGGCACAAGACTCCAAACAGAGAATTGTCGAGGAGCTATATGATCAAGATGGTGGATCAGTGTTGCTGGAAAACAACAAATCTTGCAAAATTACAGGTATTGGTTCTGTGAGATTCAAGCTCCATGATGAGTCAATAAGATTATTGACTGAAGTCAGTTATGTACCTGATTTGAAGAGAAAATTGATTTCTCTTGGTGAATTTGACATGAAGGGATATATTTTTCAAGGAGAGAAAAATATCCTAAGAGTCACGAAGGGGGTGAAGGAGGTCTTGAGAGGCGTGAAGAAACAAGGCTTGTATACCCTTGAGGCTGAAGTTGTAAGTGGTTCGACAAATGTTGCATCCACAAAACTGTTGTTGAAAACAAAAATTTGGGACATGAGATTGGGTCATGTCAGTGAAAGGGGTCTGGTCGAATTAGGGAAACAAAATCTGCTTGGAGGAGACAAAGTCGAAAAGTTGAAATTTTGTGAACCCTGTATACTTGGAAAATCTTACAGAGTGAAGTTCAACAAAGGCAAACAAAGAACTCATGAATCTTTTGATTACATCCATGCTGATCTTTAGGAGCTTGTAAGGTGTCTATCACATTCAGGATCAAGGTATTTTCTAACCATAGTTGATGATTATTCTAGGAAGTTATGGGTATTCATCCAGAAGACTAAGGATGAAACTTTTGAACATTTCAAAGGTTGGAAGAGTATGGTCGAAAATCAGACTGGCGGAAAGGTCAAGAGGCTGAGAATCGACAATGGCCTTGAATTTTGCAATGAGGCATTCGGCATTTTTTGTGTTGCCTCAGGTATTGTAAGGTACAAAACTACTACAGGTACTCCACAACAAAATGGTTTGGTAGAAAGGTTTAATCGAACTATTTTGGAAAGAGTTAGATGCATGTTGACTAGTGTTGTTTCGACAAAAACATATTTGATAAACAGATGTCCTTCGACTAGGTTAGATATGAAGACACCTGAATAAGTTTGGTCGGGACATCCACCTAGTCTCGACAGACCGAGAGTATTTGGTTGGGTGGCCTATGCTCACATTAGGAAAGACAAGGTCGAACCTAGAGCTCTGAAATACATGCTCATGGGATATCCTGAAGGAGTCAAAGCTTATAGGCTATGGTGCCTAGAGCCAGGTCACAGGAGGTGTATCACCAGTCAAGATGTAGTTTCTAATGAAGCTGAGATGGCCTTCAAGAAAACTGATGATGCTGACGAAGAGTTGGAACAAAATGACATCAAGAAAAGACTGGTCGAGAGGCTTAGAGAGTATAGTGACATTTTTGCTTGGTCCTACAAAGATATGTCCGGGCTTGACACCGATATAATGGTTCATCGTTTACTATTGCGCGAAGAGTGTCCGCCGGTCAAACAGAAGCTCAGAAGGACGAGACCAGACATGGCCGTAAAAATCAAGGAAGAGGTCCAGAAGCAATTGGATGTAGGATTTTTAACCATGATAACTTACCCTCCGTGGGTCGCCAACATAGTGCATGTGCCGAAGAAAGACGGTAAGGTACGGATGTGTGTTGATTATCGAGATCTGAATAAGGCGAGCCCAAAAGATGATTTCCCGCTCCCTCACATTGACGTATTGGTCGACAATACTGCTTAATTCTCCGTATTCTCCTTCATGGATGGTTTCTCTGGTTATAACCAGATCAAGATGGCACCAGAGGATATGGAGAAGATGACGTTTATCACACCGTGGGGGACGTTTTGTTATAAGGTAATGCCCTTTGGGTTGAAAAACGCAAGGGCAACTTACCAGCGGGCTATGGTCACTTTGTTTCATGATATGATTCATCATGGAATTGAAGTATACGTTGATGACATGATAGCAAAGTCCCAAATGGAGGAAGGACATCTGGTCAATTTGCAGAAGTTGTTTGAGAGGCTCAGGAAATTCAGGTTGAGGTTGAATCCTAACAAGTGAACTTTCGGAGTACGGTCCGGAAAGCTATTGGGGTTCATTGTCAGCAAAAAAGGGATTGAGGTTTATCCTGCCAAAATAAAAGCTATACAAGATATGCCAGCGCCAAAGACAGAAAAAGAGGTTTGTGGCTTCTTGGAGAGGTTGAACTACATTGCTCGGTTCATATCTCATCTTACGGCCACGTGCGAACCAATGTTCGAATTGTTGAAAAAAGATCAGGCGGTCGTCTGGAATGATAAATGCCAGAGGGCATTTGACAAAATCAAAGAATATCTGCAGGAACCTCCGATATTGATACCCCCGGTAGCAGGAAGACCATTAATCATGTACTTAACGGTTCTTGAGAACAACATGGGTTGCATTCTCGGTCAACACAACGAGATCAGAAGAAAAGAGCACGCCATATACTATCTGAGTAAAAAGTTCACAGATTGTGAGTCCCGTTACTCGATGCTTGAAAAAATGTGTTGCGCACTCGCGTGGGCTGCCAAACGTTTGAGACAGTATATGCTTAATCATACAACCATGCTGATTTCAAAGATGGATCTGATCAAGTATGTCTTCAAAAACAAGCGCTTTCAGGAAGGATTTTCAGGTGGCAAATGATACTGACAGAGTACGACATCCAGTATGTTTCTCAGAAGGCCATCAAGGAAAGTGTTCTGTCAGAGTACCTTGCTGAACATCCTATCGAAGACTATCAACCAATGAAGTTTGAATTTCCTGAAGAGGATATCATGTTCCTTAAGATGAAGGACTGCGAAGAGCCACTACCCGACGAAGGGCCGGAAAGGATTTCTCAGTGGCAACTGATATTTGATGATGCTGTTAACTCGTATGGAAGTGGAATCGGGGCAATCATTATGACTCCCCATGGGTCTCATATCCCATTCACTGCCAGGTTAACATTCTCGTGCACCAACAACGAAGCGGAATATGAAGTGTGCATCATGGGTTTAGAAGAAGCCATTGATCTGAGGATCAAGAATCTCGATGTGTACGGTGATTCAACACTTGTTGTTAATCAAATCAAAGGAGAGTGGGAGACCCGACAGCCCAATCTGATTCCCTACATGAACTATGCGAGAAGGCTATTACCTTTCTTCGATCGGGTAGAGTTCCATCACGTGCCTCAAGCGGAGAACCAGATGGCAGACGCTCTAGCTATGTTGGCTTCGATGTACAAAGTGAACTTCTGGAATGATGCTCCCAGCATTGTCATTTCTCGCCTCGACAGGACGGCTTTTGTATTCGCCATTGAAGAAGCTACCGATGGCAAGCTGTAGTTTTATGACATACAGAACTTCCTCAAGAAGCAAGAGTATCCGCCAGGGGCTTCGGCTCAGGATAAGAAGACTCTGAGGAGGTTGTCTGGTAACTTTTATCTGAGCCCAGATGGTGTGCTTTACAGAAGGAACCATGACCTGGTGTTATTCAAATGCATGAACGAAAAGGAAGCAACGATGCTTATGGAAGAGGTCCACGAGGGCACCTTCGGTACACATGTCGGCGGGCATGCGATGTCTCGGAAACTATTACGAGCAGGGTAATATTGGCTAACCATGGAGTCAGATAGTTTCAAATTTGCGAAGAAATGCCATAAATGCCAGATTTATGCAGACAAAATTCATGTACCACCGAGCCCGTTGAATGTTATGGCATCCCCGTGGCCTTTCTCTATGTGGGGCATTGACATGATTGGCAAGATTGAGCCAACCGCCTCCAACGGACATCATTTCATCCTGGTCGCCATCGACTACTTCACCAAATGGGTCGAAGCAGCCTCGTATGCCAATGTAACCAGGCAAGTCGTAGCCCGGTTCATAAAGAGGGACATCATCTGTAGATACGGAGTGCCCGAGCGAATCATTACTGACAATAGTTCAAATCTGAATAATAAGATGATGAAGGAGTTATGTCAGAACTTCAAAATCGAGCATCACAAATCATCGCCCTATCGTCCGAAGATGAATGGCGTTGTCGAAGCGGCCAACAAGAATATCAAGCGGATAGTGCAAAAGATGGTTGTCACTAACAAGGATTGGCATGAAATGTTTCCCTTTGCTCTTCATGGTTATTGTACGACGGTACGCACGTCAGCTGGGGCAAC